CAACAACAACAACAACAACAACAACAACAAAACAAACAACAACAACAACAACAACAACAACAACAACAACAACAACAACAACAACAACAACAACAACAACAACAACAACAACAACAACAACAACAACAACAACAACAACAACAACAACAACAACAACAACAACAACAACACAACAACAACAACAACAACACCACAACAACAAGAACAACAACAACAACAACAACAACAACAACAACAACAACAACAACAACAACAACAACAACAACAACAACAACAACAACAACAACAACAACAGCGACAGCAACAGCAACAGCAACAGCAACAGCAACAGCAACAGCAACAGCAACAGCAACGACGACAACGACGACGACAACGACAACGACAACGACAACGACAACGACAACCACAACGAGAACGACACGGATAACGAAAACAAGAACGAGAACGAGAGCGAGAACAAGAACGAGAACAAGAACAAGCAAGAACAAGCAAGAACAAGAACAAGAACAAGAACAAGAACAAGAACAACAACAGCAGCAGCAGCAGCAGCACCAGCAGCAACAGCCTCTTCTGCCCTGGAGCGTTGGGGCGTACATGTAGCCTCAGCTCCCTGCCCTTGGACTACGGTTGTAGTTCTGGCCCGCAGGGCCACTCCGGCCACGCGGCCCAGCTTGTTGGTGGCGTGCGGCCCAGGAGGATCATCAGAACACCCCTGCGACACAATCTAGGTGACCTGAGTGCTTTTGGGAGCTGGAGAAATCATAAACGACCCAGTGTGGATTCCTGCAGGAGAAGCAACACATGTGTTAGTTAGCACTCAATGATGTGACATTTGAGGGCAACGAATTGGACATCATCATCATCATCATCATCATTCGAAAACAAGCAGAACCCTTTCAGGCCAAAAGGTTGGCTTGGACTGGTGGCTTGTAAATCCAGAGTCCCGACATCCATCAAACGACATGTCACAGATTGTCACAGTGATCATGGGCGTCCACGCACGGCAGGCAGAAAGCACCTTCACAGAATCTGACAGGAAAATTGATAGGACAAATCGGCGAGTAAGTTCGAGGTGCGTTTGTCACTCAACATGAAAGCCCTTCTTTGATGCTCATGCAGTAGTAGGCCAAATAACGATGTTGTCAGTGCAAGCAGAATGGGTGGACTCCTCCAATAGTGCGCTTCAAAGCCTATTCGAAAAGTCATACAATCGTACGTTCATGAACCATGATGCCGCTGCGCTGCACTAAGTCATTCCGTTGCAAAATACACCGCACGCCCCAAAAGGAACAAACATATCAGAGGCTGACAAACCAAAATCCTTTGTGACCACGGCTTGTCGTTCAAGGTACCATTTTGAGCTGAGCTTCAGACATGCCGCCTGCCGAGCGTGAGAGAGGCAGAAACGGCCACTCAAACTCAACAGCCCGAACCGTGATGTTTCAATCACCCAGAAGCGAAAATAGTGAAAGGATGCAGTTGGGACTGTGGGCATTCGAAAAATTCACACACATAAAATCAGGGATTCCTATCTATGAAAGAAACCTTCATCATGAGTGACATCGCAACCCCTACAGTGATGTCGTTTAAACTTGCCCGGAATTGGGCCAGAAGGTGGCGCATGAAGGTCTAACAGTGGCCAAAAAGCTCAAGCAGCTGCAGGTTTCTGAGAGTCTGCTGATCAGTTGGTGCGGTGCAAGACACTGAAACGTACAACATTCCAATCATAGGTGTCCTTTTAGGGCAAATAAATAGAAATAGATGGCCCTGGTAGATGATTAAACCACCAGGTAAATCAGGGCCATTTATTTTTCTACCCAAACAACCAAAAAAGGACATGCACCTATGATTCCAATTCTTCCCCATTTGGGTGAGTGACAGGTACTTCAATAGCCTGACATTCACGGGAGAAGGGCACTCATCAAGACATTCTCAGAATTTCCCTGTATGTTGTCCCTTTAAGCATCACTCTAAAATGAAAGTGCCTTTGAATTGTCCCAAGATGTGAGCAAAAAACACCAAAGCAAACGAGCACTTTAGACGCTTTAGAAACGCCCGAGACCGTTCCCGCAAGCCCTAAGGATCTGACAGAGTTCACAGGCAGCAAGCACTCGGACAGGGTTTCTTGGTACTCGAGGATAGTTGAGGCGTTGAAATCGGAGAAGAAAAAACAACGCCTACAAGGTACCAAGGGAGGGATGCGAGTGCCAACTTGTTTGTGGCTCCTCCTACCCTTAAACCCACAGCAGGAAATGTGTATTTGCCTACCTGGATCGCTTGGAATGGCCGCGAGGAGCCAACCGGGAAAAGCGATCGGCAAGGGAGGGGGCCTGACTCGGGGCTCCCCCTTGACATGCTAACGCTGAAGTTCGGAAGGTTCTTCCGAAAAAGCTGCACATCCGGACAGAAAAAAAAACGGTTGTATGAAGCGTCCAACCTGGGGTTTTGACAATTCTTGTTGACCAGTCAAACCTCCCAGTGCCTCCAGTTCCCATTCTAGTGCTTGGTGGGTAACCAGGGGAAAGCGTCATGTGAAACCCATTGGCAGGAAGGACTGGGCTCTTGATGATAGGTGTCCTTTTAGGGGAAATAGATGGCCCTGGATGATTAAACCACCAGGTAAACCAGGAATCGCCATCTATTGTTCTACCAAAACAACCAAAAAGGACACCTATGATCTTGATGATACACCTGTTCCACTGCTTGCAGATCTGCAACTTGCCAACTCTCGGGCGACAAACCATCAAACGGGGCCGCTGCGAATTTCGTCGGCGCCTCGTGTCTTTCACGGGGCTTCCTGGAAAGGAGTGGAAGAGTCAACATAAGCGGGCTAAATCATTTCTAACACCAGTAGTTTTCTCATAGCCCTTCTTCTAGACAACCTGTATGCCGGAGTCCAATTGTTGCCTGATTTTAGGACCAAGGGAAATCCACTCGGGCCATCTCAACCAGCCCCAGGGAGACGCCGACATTTTGGGGAATTCAGCAACACAACTAGGTCCTCCAGCTTAGAACAAGGGTACCCTTTTTTCTGTAGTCTATTTTAGTACGTAGGGGAACCCTCCCCCAAAAAAGGATAAAAGGGCACTACTGGGAGCCCCAAAAAATGTGCCTTGAGATTGACCTCCTTTTGCCTGAGCTCGCCTCCTTTCATGCCGCAGCGACGCTGAGCACGAGTGATTCGAACCTCGGCGGGTCCGTTTTGGAGCTGGTGCTCTCAGGGCCGGAAACGGGGATCCAAAGGAACGCTTGTGGAGGGTCACCAATGTGTTGAAACAAACCCAATGCTGTGTGAAAACCTGCGAAATTGCATGTATTTCGATTCTGAAACCATTTGTGAGAAATTGGCGTTGGCCCATTTGCCAGCCCCCCTTTCATCTGTCTGAGAAGGATAAAGAAAGGGGCTAACTGATGACGGAAGTTGTTGTTCAAAAAACTACCCCACAACCCGATGCTCATAAGTTAAAGCCTTGTAGTGGACATGAGCAAGATCAACGGCGCGATACCGAAACCACTGGCTGCACTGCCCAAACCCTAGGGATCTCTTGGCGCCTTCTAAGAATCAGACGCTTTGGGAATCGAAGGTCTGTGCTAAACGGATTCTGAGGATTGATGAAGCAGGGTCGGCACCGGATTGTAGAGGTAAGCAAACTTGCATGGCGCATTCTGGATAATCCAAAAACAGCCCGTACAGAACATGTCAGGCACCATAACTCATGTCAATGTGTCTTGCTATGAGCCGTTTCTGTAATCACGCGGCTCGGAAAGCAACCCCGCAACCGCAGGCCCTTCGCAACAGCGGCAGCGTCTCGAGACCATCGCCTGCCTTCCCATCTAGAGCCATGCTGTTGCCCAGCCCTTTACCCTGGATTCAACCCCACTCTAGACCAGGCCCAGGCGTTGCCAGTGACAAGGGGAAATTGAACACGCGCCTTTTTGTTTTCGCGGGAGTTGATTTCCACTGAAGCATCTCTTCTGGTCCATGAGCGGTTGCTGTTTTCTTCGTGTAGAACCTCCCGTGAAAACAACAAGATCGCTTTGAAGCAGCAAGCGTCTCCTTGCAGCGCTTGCTTCCAAACCGCAACTGCCTCATAAATCTTGCTTGAGCCTGGGTTCTCATGATCCAGCCTCTACGGCTCAAGAAAAGATCCTATACTACGTCCTATCTATATATGCATATACACTATATCTATATTTTTACGATATGAAGCTTGGCTTCACAGAGGACATTTGGAATCCGCAAAATACTGCAACTGACCTGAAATGATTACGGAATACCTTTTTTGGGGGGGGCTTGTTCAACTTTCTGGCTCAGCTTGATGCTGGCGGGGAAGGAATTTACAATGTCTTGCTTGTCGCAACTAAATCGGTGCACGTGGAAGGACCCCTTTTGAAGAACAGAAGCACTTTGTCGGGGTCGAGGGTTGATGTTCTCACGGGGCTTCCCTGGCCCGGAGTTGTCTGTTCTGCCAGAATCAAACGACAACTCACTGTAGATTGGCATCTTATGACGTAGTAACTTGCGGGTGATGTTGAATCCAAAGCGTAAAAAAAAGTGTAGTAAGTTACGGGGGATGCTTAAAATCCACCAAGGGAAATGTTATATGGGAACCGTGCCATTAAAAAACACACACAAAAGACGCAGCCGCCATATGGGGGAAATACTATATAGGAAACCTCGCCCCCCCCCGGAAAGCAAACCAAAACACAGACACAAACATAGGTGCCCTTTTAGGGGAAATTAGGTTTCCCTGGTAGGTGAGAAAAACACCAGGTAAACCAGGAATCCCCATCTATTTTTCCAGCAAAACAGCCAAAAAGGACACCTATGCCCGTGGGATTAAGTATCCATTTGGGGCCTTGAGGGGATCCTTGAGGGGATGGGACGTTCAACCGGTTGAATCAGCTTCCCTCAAAGTGGCCCTTCTTGGAGCGAGAAGTGGTAAGATGTGGTGTCCCGTTTACCGTCCAGTTACAAGAGCCAGGGTTCCGAAACGGCGCTACAGGTCCATGTCGGTCCATGGGGCCCCCACGCGCGGGGAGAGCTCCAGCTCCTTCTGTTTCAGCAGCCTCCGCGCCTGCTCCGCCGCCTGGCGCTGCGCCGCGCGGCGAAGGGGCGCGAGTTGGTCAACGTGGATCCAAGCTCAACGAAGGAAACGTCCAAGTGATGTTTACATCGACGAAATAAGCCAAGGGAACCACTCCACTTAAGACTTAATGTTTACATCGGATTGATAGCCCCCACCCCCCGAGAAGGTCGAGAAAGTGGTTTTTGTCCCCTCAAGTCTCTGCTCATTGAACATGGGCCAAGGAAGACGCCAAGGGAACCACTCCACTTAAGACTTAATTCTTACATCGGATTTATAGACCCCCTCCCCCCCCGAGAAGGTCGAGAAAGTGGTTTTTGTCCCCTCAGGTTTTTACTCATGTAACATCGGCGAAGGAAGAAGCCAAGGGAACCACTCCAGACTCCACTTAAGACTTATAATGTTTACATCGGATTTATAACCCCCCCCCCCGAGAAGGTCGAGAAAGTTGTTTACCGACATGGTCTCGCAAGTATCAAAGCAAGTCCAGCTACTTTAACAACATGCACACAAATATATTCCTTCCCTCATGCCCTCCGTAACACAACACCATGTCACTGACTTCTCCGAACTAGCTTTGACCCCTGATTTGTGCTTTTTGGCTGCTTGGTGGGGGAACAATCACGACTAAAAATGAGTCATGGACAATCCAAAAGTTTACATAAATGGTGTGTATTCGCGTTGGTTGCAAGTGAGCGTATCTCAACTTTTACGACCCTTTACGCATGTAGCAGTGCGGGATACTAGGTGTGCAACAGATGTGTTTCTCGGCGTTCGATGCTTCATACGTAGCGTTGTCATCTGGATGTGCTCCAAAACACAAACGACAGCAAACAACCACAAATGGTTGGCTTCATTGCGGCGTCTCGCTCAACCGAATCGAGGCCGAGAAGCGGCCGCTCACCGTTCACGGGCCCGATGGGCCCGACGGGCCTGACGGGCCTGACGGGTTTGATGGGCCTGACGGGCCCGACAGGTTCAGGGGCTTGACGGGCCTCGCGTGCGTGACGGGCTCAACCTAACGGGACAACGGGCTCGACGGGCATGACGGGCTCCATGCGCTGGGCGGGCATTGCCTAACGATATCTAATGATAGAACGACAGACAGATGGGTTGATAGTGATAGATATATTGTGACATGTTGGTAGGTATTGTGACATGTTGATAGAAATTTACAAAGGTAGGAGAGATAGTAGATAGATAGATAGATAGATAGATAGACAGAAGATACATAGGTAGATACATAGATACACAGACAGACAGATAGATAGGTAAATGTAAATAGATAGGTACATAGATGGATCCGATTAGCATATCTTGCATAGGTGGTAGATGGATAAGTAGGTAGATGGACAGAGACAGGCAGACGAAACTGAAGAAGAGAAAAATAGACAGAAAGAAAGATCGGTAGGTAGATGGACAGATAGATGGACAGTTAGATAGGTAGACCGATGCATACATAGACGGATACGCAGATAAATCGGTAGGAGAGATATGTAGATAGAAGGATAGCAACATAAAAAGCAGAGGGAATCGAGAGATAGATCGATTAGATTGCATTAGAACAGGAAACGAGATAGGCAGATAGGCAAATGGATTAGATTGGGATGGGTTAGGTCAGAGCAGGTTGGATCAAACAAATAGGTCATTACGCCATGAGGCGAGTGGTGATTTTCAAGGTTCATCCTTCTTGGTTTCAATGCACCTGCCAATGATTTCAGTTCTTCTCAATGAACAACTGTGGTTTTAGAATTCCTCTAAACTAATGTTTTTCAGAGAAAACACCCTTCATCTGACATCATCTCCATTTGGGCTCAATTTAGGTTGTGCGCTCCAAACATTGAGCAAATCAGATCACACCACCAAATTTCTTGCAGCTGCACATCTTCGCAAGCTGGTTGGCGGGCATCTACTTGATGCTCTCAGCCTCACCTTCGGACCCTTGAACCGTCAAACTCTTGGACTTCTTAAGCCCTCGAACTCGGGCCGGTAAACCCCTCGGACCTTCAAACTCTTAAACGCAGGCTGTCTCCAGAAGTTCGGAAGTGGTAGCCCAATCCCTTCGCAACTCCTCCTCCTCCGCAAATTCGCTTAGTCGCGGCCGAATCCTCCTCCGCCGGTTCTCGGGTCGGTCGCCCAGTCTACTCCTGTTCCTCCGCGGGCTTCGCAACTTTTCCCCGAAGGCTCTTGAAGCGCGAAGTTGCGCAGCTGAAACCCTTGGCAACTCCTCCTCCTCCGCGAATCGCTCGCTTTGTCGCAGCCGAATCCTCCTCCGCCTGGTTCTCGGGTTGGTCGCCCAGCCTAAACCTCGGGCTTCGGTTGCAAGACGCTTTGCTCGATCTGCTGGCCTGCGGGCCCTGAAGGAAGCTCCAAGGCGGCTCGGAAAGTGTCGACGAAGCGCGGGCGGCGCCTTAACAGAGCGAACAGGGGCGGACCCGGCGGGAACCGAGCCCCTGCATAAGGCGCGGTTAAGGCCCCTTGCAGAGAGCGCAGTTAAGACTCCCTATAGAGGGCGCAGCAAAGGCTCCTTATAGAGGGCTCAGTTAAGGCGCCTTATAGAGGGCACAGTCAAGGCTTCCTATTAAGAAACTTCTTTTCCGTTAGGCAAAGCGACGACGCTCCCAAAAAAGGCACCAGGCTCGATTCCCCCTGGGCCCCTGTTCGCTTTGTCAAGGCGCCGTCTTGCAACCCGGGCCCCAAAGCCCGAGGTTTAGGCTGGGCCCGACCCGAGAACCGGCGGAGGAGGATTCGGCTGCGACAAAGCGAGCGATTTGCGGAGGAGGAGGAGTTGCCAAGGGTTTCAGCTGCTAGCAACTTCGCGCTTGGGTTGAGACCGAGGAATTGCCGCCTGAGAACGCCGGCAAGTGGCTCAAGACCGCGCGCGCTTCACAGGGTTGAAGGCTGCGCAGTTCGCGCTCGCTTCCGGGCGCTTGCTTAAGACAGCTTTCCACACACACACACACACACTCTTGGACGCCGTCGTTATGGATGCCAGGGCTGAAATCTTGCTCCGCTCACATTTGAGTTTCTAGGAAAACGCAAGCTGCGCGACTGCCGGCAGAAAAGGAGATCTTGCCAACTTGAGAATTGGCGGAGAAGAAGAAGGAGAAGAAGGAGAAGGAAGAGGAGCGGCAAAGCGATTCGAGAGCCTAAAGCTGACGCCGAACGAGAAGCTCAGAGCTTAAAGGTTCAGGCTCCAATCGGTTTGGGGGCTTCAAGAGGTTCACAAGTTGAAGCGCGTTCAAGGGTTTCAGGGTTTCAGACGCAGGCGTCCGGACTTGCAAGTCGCAAGCGCGTCTGGAAAAAGGGCAGAGTTCAAGGCTAAGGGCTCAGGGTTCGAAGTCACGGGCTCAGGGGGAGGGGCTCAAGAGAGCTCAGCGGCTCAGGGCTCAAAGGATCAAAAGGGTTTTCGAGTTCATGTTTTTCTTTGGGCAAGCCTAAGAGTTTTTGCAACTGTGAGCGGCAAAAAAGGGAGACCTTTCCAGCCCTCGCTTCAACCCTTTGGGCTCTGCCTGCGACCTTTGCTTCAATCAAGCTCGACCGCAAAGCTTTCTTCGCGCTTGCCCTTTTGACTTCGACCGCAACAACAACATAAACCCCGAACCGTTCTTGTTTTTCGCCCCTTCAACCCTTCCTCCCCGACAAGAAAAAAACTCAACGCCGCGACCCCCAAGGTTGCACCTTTTTTCATTCCCAATGGGTTTCTCGCCCGCCTCGGGTCAACACTTCGGTGACCTCGAGGCCCTCTGTCTCCCAGGACCCCCGGCGGGGGACGTCTTCGCGTCCCGCTCACCGAGAGGTCCCTAATTTGCAGCTCATTCGCCCGCGCGAAAGGCAGGAACCTCCTCCCCTCCGCCTGCAAAGCCGCCTTCGCGACTTTGACCTTCTCGCGCGCCTCGCGACGGGCCGCCTTCTCCGCCTCCGTCATCCCGTGCTTTCCCGACGGCTCCGTCGCCTGCAACGAAAGGCTGCCTGCTAACACAAACCATCATTGTTGGGAACGTGGCCCCTAGCAACAAACACATTTCTTTACCGAAAGCGTTTCCATTATTCAGGGAGGGCGTGCGTCGTTCGGGGGAAAAGATTGAAACAGACTTTAGAGGGCCCGCGCGCCTTGTACGCGGCCTCTGCCGCCGCCAGGCGCTGCTCCGCCAGCCGCACAGAAGCCGCCGGGTTCCGCGGCTTGTCAAAGCCAGTCTTGCGAACGGGAGTCGACATTGTGGCGAAGAACTAAAGAAAACCGCGGCGAAGAAAAGCTGCGGCGAAGACAAGCTCGCCTCTAGCCTCGCAGTCAGAACCCACGGACCCTCAAACCCTCAAACCCTTAACCCTCGGGCCCTCAAACCCTGAAACCCCCGGACCCTCGAACTCAAAACCCCTGGACTCTCAAAGCGTCAGAACCTCAAACCCTTCAACGCTTGGACTCTCAAACACTCGAACTCCCAAACTCTCAAACTGTCAAACCCTCAAACCCTTGACCTCAAACTTTCAACTGTCAAGTCTTCGACCCCTCAAACTCTCCAAGTGTCAGACATGAAGCCCTCGGACCTTCCAACTATTAAACCCTTGAACCCCTCAAGCCTTCAAACTCCCTTGAGCCCTCAAACCTCAAACTCAAACTCTTGGGCAGCCCCCAACCCTCGAACCTTGGACCCTTAAACCCACAACCTCTTATGATAAAGTTGGCGGGCATCTACTTGACGGTACACGTGGAGACAATACATACGCAGGAGCCGCCAAAAGCAAAGGCAGCGCCTGGCGAGAACGCGAGACATAAGAGACCCACGAAGACCACAGAACGTTCTGATCATCACACAGTGCACGAAAGTCAATTGGAGATACGGTCAGGCATCGCAGAAGCAGCAATCGCAAAATCCAAAACTGGACCTGACACCGAAACAGCAGCAAAGACATCAACCCCTCCCCACCCACACCTCGCCAGAAAAACAGCTGAAGCACCGCGAAAAGACCAGAGGCCCTGTGGAACTAGCAACAAATACGTTGGGAAATGCGCAGATGCGTTGATGGACAAACGGATGGACAAACAAAAGAATGGACAGGTACATGGATAGATGCGCAAAGACCTCGGTGGATGAATAGGCAGGCAGATGGCTAGATAGAAAGATGAGTAGGCCAACAGGGCATGTAAGTGGAGCAGACACACACACGCGCAACAGTATTGGCTTCTATCAAGTTCGAGCCAAGTGCCTAGCGTAACCAGAGCTCCCGGCACCTGTTTTCCCAAAAGCATCTCTGGTGCGATGGGTGCGGGGAGCTTTCAACGGGGCCGTGCTGGTGGGATGTGGGTTCCGAGCGGCCGCGCTGGTGGGATTTGGAGGGCATTGGCTTCTGGGATGAGAGCGTTTGTGGGCGTGAGCTCGAGGAACAAAAATAGTAGGCTAGTTGGACAGATCTTGCTCCGTGCCTGGCGTGGGTTGTTAGACAACGGCAGCCTCGTGTCAATGACTGCGTCAAGTTAATAGCCTCCTCTTTCGTCGGCCTTGACGGTCCCGACAAACTTCCCTGGCCGGACGGGCTCAACGGGCCTGACGGGCCCGACGGGCCTGACGGGCCCGACGGGCCCGAACAGTGAGAGGACATTGGCCGAGCACAGAATCCAGGGTTCCCATCTTGCAAGTGACTCGCACAACTTCCAAACTAGTACAAGCTGTTGCTTTCACATGCCTATCGAGCATCTAGTGAGCCTGGGAAAAAAAAGAAAGCCCTTGCTGCGGTTGATCATGTTTAGTGGGAAAGCCACCAAACAAAACGTGTGTCTTAGGGTGCCACTGAACAAGTCAAGAAACCACAAACAGTAACCCTCTCAAGGTATGGATTCCAGCATCACGTTGCCCCCTTGCTGAATCGCCCCTTGTCCACAATCCGTCGCCTCCAAAGAAGATGTTGCCAGCTGGCCTGGCAGCAAGCTTCACAGGGCGCGCCTCACAATCCCACAATACCATGCCCAGTGGCCAGGGCGAATACAAATTAGTACATGTAAATATTTGCTGGCTGTGTGCTGTGCCCTTCCTTGTTCCCAGTGCTTCCCAGTTACCATTATACGTAGTAGGAAGCGAGGGGAACCCATGATGTAATATCTAGATGCAAGGAACGCAAGTTCAGGTCTGCTCTTGGCTTCCACCAGAGGGTGGTGAGTTAGGATTGACTATCTTTGGGATCTGTCAGGTCGTTGCAATTGCGTTTCCCCCTTTTTAATGGACTTGTTTGGAAAGCAGGCCGTTTAAAACAGCAAACACGTGCCAAATTTCCAGTCACGGCCACCATCTAAACTATTGGCTGACTTGGAACGCAATGGTTGTCAAACATGCGCCATGGGCGTCCGTGAATATGCAGTCGAGAAACAAAACCCGCTACGCATTCTACCAGCTCCTGGTATCCACCCACACTGGATGCTGATACATGCTGGTAGATGCACACCCCCCAAAAGGGAAGTTTTCAAGCCACCCACCACTTACAGCGCGTGTTGTCTTCGTCCGAACGTCGAGCAACAAATTCCCTCCCCGCCCAAAAAGGCCCAACACCTTGTAACTGTCTGACAAGGGATATCCATTGTTTGGAAGTCTAATTTTAAAGCTGAGGCTAAGTCCTTTTGTGAATCGAGACAACTGCTGAACTCACCATCGGTGTCCTGTTGGAGTAAGTTGGATATTCCAACTGCGAGTGCCATCTGGGTGTGTTTCTTGATACCCTTTTGTTTGGGTTATGGGGTACCCATCAGCAAAACTGACCTAGAAGGACAGCTATCTGGGTAAAGTAACTTACAATGATTCCCAAACAGTAAGTTTGCCATCCACAGGTCCCAACGAGCCATCACTCTGAGCTCGACCTACCCAAACCTAACTCCATCGAGCTCCTTACAACCTAACTCCAGATGCAACGCACCACGTCTCCCGTCACCACGTCCCCCGTCACGCCTGCGCGCGTCAGCTCCGCTGCCCGGTCTGGCGCAAGGGCGCCTCTCGCAGCTCAGATCGCCCGTGGGAGGGTTGGATCATGGGGGCTAGGAGGGAGGGGAGGGGAGAGGAGCCCAAATAAGCCCTAACTAAGGGCTGAATAAGGGTTTTTTGGGCTCCCTCCCCCCAACCCTCCCTCCCCCCCAGCCCCCATGATTGAAACCAGTAAAAAACATTGTTTCTTGGTATTTACAGGGGAATCCTTGCGCAGGATTTCGTCCATCCACAGTAGCTAACCAGGAAACCATCATGCCAAAACATGTAGGCAAGGAACCCGAAGGGCCCTACCATAGTTGAAACTGGAAGCACTGGGTCTGTTCCGTTCTGTTGAAACGGAACCCTCTTTTAGACAGAAGGGAGACCAGGGTGGAACAACTGCGTGTCAGAGTGAGGCATGAACATCCTATGTTTGTGGCAAAACACAGACTCGCCTTTGGGCTCTAAACAAAGCGAAAGAAAAGTCGAACGATTGAACAAGTGGACTAAAACCAGTCAGCCTAGGGAGGGATCACAAGTGATCTGCAATACCCGCCCGCACGCGTGTCCGCAAAAAACCCAGGCACGTAAACAATCAACCAACAAAACCGCATACACAAACAAGCAAGCAAGCAAACAACGCTCGCTCACTCACTCTCTCTCGCTCGCCCTCTCACCCTCTTACTCCCCCACTCACCCACTCACTCACTCTCTCACCCACTCACTCACTCACCCACCCACCACCACCCATCCAACCAACCCACCAACCCACACCTCACGCTCCCCTCAATCACATCTCGCAGGCAAGCTTCGCGCAGGCCTCCTCATGTTTGGGGCTGTCGGTTCCCTCGAGACAGCCACACGCTGAGTCGGCAAACAATCCGATGCTTCCAAATGGCCATGGGCATAACCTATGGCTCTATTTTGGGGTGGATGAACATCCATTTGCAACATATTTTGATGTTCACCAGGGGTACAGCCACAGCCAAATCTGAATTTGCGAACTCCTCACCAAGGGATCTGGCTTAGCTGGATTCTATCGTCGTGGCCACCGGATCCAATGCTTGATGGCCGCCTGCACAATTTGGCCCCAAAGGCTCAACGAGTTGGCTTCAGAATTCGCTGCTCTCTCGCAGATTGGTGCTCGATCCGAAACGAAGACCCTCATCTCGTGCAGATTTGTGTTGGATCCGAAAAATAATAATAACAATAATAATAACAATAATAATAACGATATGAAATCAGCTGGTTGAGTTCCCTGCAAAGCAGCAGCCTCAATTAAACAGCGCCGGAGGTGGTGGGCCCCGCATCTTCTGACCACGGGCCACTTCAGCACCGCGCCTTCCTGCCAGGCCGGCAACTCGACCTGCAAAGGGTAGGAAAAGGTCAGCGTTGCGAGCCGGCAAGTTTTACATATGGCAAGTCAGGTGCGCGCATAGTACAAGTCGCAAATATGTATAGGGGTGCGCGCATACTACAAGTTAGTAGCAAATATACAACTGAGATATAAAACATATATATATATATCCATACTAAGTTGCAATGTAATTACAACTGATGTCTATAAACACATAGTTATACTAATATGCGAATGCACGTAGACTTGTACATACATGCAGCACATACATGAGTACCATGTGTATGTATACCCACATTGATGTATACGTAAGCACCATGCAGCCACCACCTTTGCAAAGGAAGGATGCCACAGGAACTCTTCCGTTTACAATGGTAGATTAAACGGTAAAGTAAAGAGTGAAGAGGCACAAAGAAGATGTCTCAGACACATGTTCGCAAAGCAATGAACACAGGAGGAGACAAGACACTTCAAAAGGCAAGAGCGAAAAAGTACAAGGTTGATTGAGGTTACATACATTTGTGGAAAGAGTTCAACGCCAGAACAAGAACAATAAATCATTGCAGAGATATTCAAAAAATGAAAGACACATAAATATGCCATACGATAAAAGGACCTGGGACGAAAAGAAGAAGCATGAGGTAGAAGTACAATGACGGAAAGGACAAAAAGTGCAATAGCAGAGCCGGCATGAATTGAACAAGATGGAACAATTACAATGACCGAAGATAACAAAACAACGATTGCAATCAAAGAAAGGACCGTAACGCAAATCAAGCACAGCAACCGCACAATAAGAGAAACGAGCCAATAACAACAACATGCAACACATGCACTCGGTTGTGCCCTGCAGCATGTAACACTTGCACATCATGTGTGAGTGGCTTGTGTCCAAGGTCTCGCACAATGACACTGACAGGTGCCGTATTCTCCAAAGGCGTGGAACAAATGAAGTGACACTGGTACGTGATGCGGGGTTCGAGCCGTTGGACCGCGAAAGCTTTGAAGCGCTTTGGAGACCAAGGACCGAGAGATTGACATTGGACTCCAAAGAAGTCATTGCTAAAGTGCCCAACCCAATGAACCTTCTGATCGAGGGGTAGGTTCTGAAAGCCATGTTGCCCAGGGGGGGCCCAATGATTAGCCCGACAAAAAGGGCGCTGGAAGGCCGGGACTCTGCCAGGGACTAAGATTCGCCAGGGTTGCCAGAAGCTCTTCAAAGCTTTTGAGTGGTCTCTGGGTTGTGGAAAGGTGGCCTTAGGGATCCCCCAAAACT